ATGCCGTGGTTCCCAATTCCAGTCCCTGGCCAGCCCTGTTGTGCACCATCCAAAATCCATCTGCTGATTTTGGCTCCTATCCCATGGGGTTACTATTCCAAAATGACTGACAATTTTTCCTTATCATCACATTTTTAAATAGAGTTGATGAAACATACCGTCTTATTGACTTCGTAGGAAAAAGTGTGAGAAAAATTAGCAAATTTTACTATATAAATTTTCTACCTGTGTCTCCTCTGATCTGGAGACACTTTGGGGCTCCATAGAACTGGAGTCTATTCAGCATTTTGTTTCTCCCAACACAACATAGGGGAAAAGATGCAACTCCCCAGAACCCCGGTTCCCTGCTCTCATTTAGGGGTGATTATTCCTTTATGAATCTTTACCCTAGATCTAGCAAGAAGGGCAAACTTTCCCATGATCCTACTTTATTAAAGATGGGGATGTCCCCAGGAGTCCTTTTTAGCAGAGTGACCTTTGAGCCTCATGGCTGCTGTGTAGGTTGGTTTGTTGGTTCCCCCTGAGGTTAGCCCTGAGCAAGCTGCAGCTCAGTGAAAGACTCTGAATCTCTCTCCTGTGGAACTGCTCCTCAGTGCCACTATGAAGTAAAATCCCAAAGGCTTCACTGGTATTCGGGGAATAGACACCCACCTGGAGAACTGCAGGCTCTCTGCCCACCGTCAGGGGACCAATACTCCAGCTAGCAAATGTAGAGGCAGAGACTTTCTAACCCCTCAGGTATCAACATAGTCCATGCGTGTGACTTCTGTCTTTAAGGTTCCCAAGTGCTGACTGACTGTCTGTATGTCTCACTTTCTCTTCTTTACACTTTAACTTTGCTTACGGGAGTGTGGCATTCATAGGTTACTTTATGTTTGGAAAATACAAGAACAAGTTGTCTTGTAGAATTTTCAAACATACACATCTTAGTAAGAAACACCCCGGAGGTTATAGGGCTGTTGCCAGTTTTTACCGCTAAATCTTACTTGTTCAAACACAGAACACATTACTGCTTTAATCAGTCTTTTAGAACCTCTAATTCATTGCTGTAAGTGGAAGTGTATGAACAGCTGAAGATTGTATATATACAAAAAATGAAACCTCAGTATCATTTGTTTAATCTTCTTGGTGCTAAGGGATTTTTCAGAGCATTGATGTTTAAGTGAATACCTGTTGAAAAAATCAAGAACATATAATCCTGAACAAGGAGATATGTTTGGATAAGAGTTCAGCGATGGAAGCCTTAGCTTGTATTGTTGAGATTTCCTCCCTGTTTCGAATGGGCTTACCTCTCCGGGTAGGCATGCAGCAGAATCCAGGGTCACTGAGTACCTCAAGTGGAACACTTTAATACTACAACACTTTTATTGAGCCAGGTGTAAGTTGAAGAGGTAAAGTCAGAGAAAGAATCTATATCTCGATACTTTCCTCCAGCAAGAACTTCTTTACTCTTCCGAAATTTTCCTGTTTCTTCCCAAACCGACAGTGTGATGATGGTGATGTTATCTGGCATGATCAACAGACTCAAGTACAACGTAGTGTGCCAAAAGAAAAGCTGGAGGAAGTGAAGAATGTTGTGTTGACTCTAGCTTTCTCAGTAGTGCTGAAAGAAATATAGAGGACCAATGTGAAAGAAGATTTATATTCTTTTGTTTCTGACATGAAAGTTTTCTACTAGATTGTATACAAATACTTTTTTCTTACTACTTTCAAGATAGCCTTAGATTTTGCCTGCCTTTTGTAACTATTAATGCTATTACAGAAGACAAGAGGGCAACTGGGAGGAGTAGAGCATTTTATTCAGATTGTTAAAAACACATATTTTTAAATGCACAATACTTACTCCCTATTTTGCAGCAATGCCTAATTGGCAGTTGGTGAAATGACTCTGCTCTTTTAATAAAGTTACGGAAATTCATAGCCTAATATCCTTGAGTTCACTAAAACATCTTCTAACGAGAC